TGGAGGTATCGTTGATTCCTTGAGGTATTAACAAGTAGCAATTATACTTAGACCCATCTCCTTTCATTAGCACTTCATTCTCCTTATTAGTGACCAGACATTCAGATTTAGTGAAGTTCACCGTAAAACCTTGATCACATAGCTGACTAATGCTTATCATATTTACATTCAGACCTTTTACAAATAGGACTTTATCAAGCTTAGGAGATCCTTCACAAGCTAGTCTTATAACACTTTTAATTACCTCTTTTGGCACCATATCCAAAGGTGACATAGCTAGTTGTGTAAGGTTTAACATCTTCTAATAAGTTTTGCACACATGTCATATGTTTAGAACATCCAATATCAAAATATCAGTCTTCACTATAAGAGACTTTAAGAGAGGTATAAGCAATGAGATTCTTGACAGTATCTCTCACTTTTCATTCTTTTATAGGTTGAGATAGATGTTTTGGATTTCCATGAAGCCTATGACATTTCCAAGGTTGGAGCTTGACTTTCATCTGAGTTTCCTGTGACCTAGCAGGATGTTGCAACATCAGGTCAGACATCTGGTTATCACCCTTAACAAGAATAAATGTTATCATATAGGTTATATCTTTATTTTTTAAGGATTGACAGTTAAACCATATGCCAATATGTATTCTACCCCTTCTATATCTTAGATAATATCATCCAGGACATTAGATCCTTTGTTCAACATCCTAACGAATTTGATAAAATTGTCAAGTTTTGATGTTAACAAAGTGACTTCATTCTGAAGATCAGAGATGTCAGCTAGATATTCCTCCTTCTCAGTCTAGAGTTTAGCAATGATCATTCTATGCTTTACCCCTACTTGATAGAATTCTTCACTTTTGTTGCACAGTTCCTTGTAGGAAGTATTTAGTTTGTCATAAGATACGTCTTCACTTCTAAAGTCTGCATTAGAATTCCATCTTCCTGTTAGGGAAGTCACAAGCTTATCAGATTCTCCCTTAGAAGATTCATCATCTGACCAAGAAACAATCAGTCTCTTAGGTTGTCTTTTGAGATAAGAGGGACATTATGCTTTAATATGCCCAAATCCTTCACATACCTGACATTGAATCTCTCTAATATGATTAGGAATTTCGTTAGTTATGGATTTAATTTGAGAGTCATGGTTATTGTTGATGTCAGATGAGATGTTCTTGACATTTGGTCTTCCCTTCCTTTCCAATCTCTTCAAAATTCTACTGAATTGCTTTCCAAGTAACACAATGGTATATGACAATATTTCCTCATAACCTATAGTACCAGAAATTATTTTCTCTCTGGAGCTCACCCAATATACAGAACAGGGTGCCTGCTTTGATGCCAATTGAAATTATGACACTTGCAATATAGATGTCAAGACTGATGTCTCAACACCAAAACACAATGTCAGGACAAATGTTATAACATCATCTATTGACTGAAACTTTTACCAAAATATAAACTATATAGAAATAAATTGCAGAAGGTAAAAGAACATAATCAATTGTTAACCCAGTTCGGTGCAACGTCATCTACTCTGGGGGCTACCCAGCCAGGAAAGAAATCCACTATAATAGTATTAGTTCAAAGCCTAAACAATCCCCGTTTACAACTTATCACATAATCACTACCCTATAAAATTTCTACCTAGGAACCTCCTAAATATGAGAACTCCCTCTCACTTCCCACCAATCACCTCAGTGATAAATACAATTACAAACGAGTGACTAGAATCAAAAGAACCAAATAGAAAATTACACTTCAAATACAAAACTAACTCTTTTCTTAAAAGCTCATGAGTGAGAACAATAATTAGTTTTGCTTAAAAGCTCTAAACTAAGAGCAATCAGTCAACCTCAATGTATCAAAGATATATGAGTGACATGCAGAGAAAACACAAACACTTTAAAAGACTCCCAAAACCCTAAATCCTTATGCATCCACGGTTTCTTCAGTGTGAATGCTTGCTATTTTAGGTTTAACAAGTCCTTATTTATAGACTCTTGCAGAATGGGCTTGAAATCTTTAAATTAAATCAAATCTTATTATTTTAAATCAGTTGCAAGATCTTCAACAAAAATAGGAATCAATCTTCAAGGTTTCCTAAAAAGTCTCAAAGATATTTTTTTAATGAAACTAAATCAAATCTGCATTGTTCCTAATAAAATCTTATTGACCTACAAAAATTAGTGAGATATATCCAATAGGATCTCATAAAATTAAATCAAATTTGTCAAAAAAAATAACAGCAACACTTGCTGTATAATTGGCCAAGATGTCAAGACATCTTACTCAATATATGTCTGGTATACACGACAACATAACTTGTCATGATAGTTGGTCAAGATGTTGTGACATCTTGTGCAACATCAGTTAAGAACCATGTTTTAGCAAAATTTATGTCAATCATAAAACTATGGATCTAACAGTTTAGAGACATCTTCCCACTTGAATCCAAGATATCTTTGAAGCACTTTTCGCCTTCCCCCAAAGGAACCTTGTTTGCAAATTGATAAGCTTCTTCCAAACCGTTATAAGAATATTAAAAAATGACAAAAAATATCAGGACATTATTAAATATTGATTTAAGAAGAACCAATATACCACCCAAATTGATATATCCATGCTTCTGAGAATTGAGCCTCTTTTCCAGCAAGTTAAATGTTCCCAAGTAATTTCAAGGTTATGATTCGCCCCTACTAGGAAACCAGGATAATTAAAAGGAAGAGAATCAATCTCACAGTGGAGGAAACTATTCTAGATGATAAAAAGACATAATCCACATTGATCCATATAAGACTACTCTTAAAGAAATTCACTCAAATTCTTGAAGCCAACTCGAAACCTCTAAGAATAGTCTGAATTCTTCATAAATCCTTTAGAGTAGGTTCAACCACTAAGAGAGTATCATTAGCATACTAAATATGAGACACCACCAACCCAGATATGTCTATCCTGAACCCAGAGAAAAGATCAATTTTGTCATCCCTGGCGACTAGACCACTAAACCCCGTATAGCCACTAGAAGGAAAAAAGAAATGAGTTAGAATATCCCTTTTCTTCAAACCCCTTTGGATGTTGATCCCAAAATTACCATCACCAAAAGATCACCATCACCGCAAGTAGGACATCCATTCACCATCACTCCAAGATTACCAAAAAAAATAAACACAAACTCTCATCTAAGATCTCCACTACTTATCACTAAATCTGAATTTGATAAGCATATAATCCATAATGTTCCAACTAACCAATTCATACGCTTTTTCAAAATCCATCTTAATAACGAGATAAACTCTATTAGATCTCTTGGCCAAGTCGACCACCTTATTGATAACCACCACTCCATGAACTAACAGTTCTCCCTTAAGAAAAGTTGATTGATTAGGGCATATAAGATGGTCCATCACTGGCCCAAGTTTAATGGCCAACACTTTAGCCACTCGTTTGTACAAGTATATCACCAAAGAAATAGACCTAAAATCTCCCAAATGAGAAGGGAATTAACTTTAGGGTTCAAAGTCACAAAGTATAATGCAAAATTACGAGGTAGAGATGCAAAATGATGAAATTGATCAAACATAATCTCCATGTAAACTCTAAACAGATTTCAAAATCTTTTGAGGAAGGAGAAATTAAAACCATACGTGTCTAGAACTTTGTTACCATCGACTAGGACATAACAGAGTCTAGCACATGAAGACTAAAGGGAGCCAACAAAGAAAGGTTATTATCATCGGAAAGAGAGCAGAAAACTACATCATTTAGACAAAGTCTATCAACATTTGGTTCTTTAAAAATATTGGTAAAATGATTCACGACCTCTTGTCTAAGTTCATAAACCCCTTCAATCCAAATCTTTTCATCCTTTAGAGCTAAGATATCATTCCTTCTACTTCTACTCGTAATGCATGAAAGTAATCAGAATTAGTGTCCCCCTCCTTAAGTCATTTAGACCTAAATCTTTAGAACAATTGATGAGAATCTTTAATCCTAAGCAAGAATCTTTAATCCTAAGCAAGGATTGGGAAGCGCTGATTCATTCCCCCGTTTGGTTCTTTAAAAATCTTGGTAAAATGATTCACGACCTCTTGTCTAAGTTCATAAACCCCTTCAATCCAAATCTTTTTATCCTTTAGAGCTAAGATATCATTCCTTCTGCTTCTACTCGTAACACATGAAAGTAATCAGAATTAGTGTCCCCCTCCTTAAGTCATTTAGACCTAAATCTTTAGAATAATTGATAAGAATCTTTAATCCTAAGCAAGGATCACATGTCTGCAACCACTCTAGATCTAAAATCAATCTCTTCCCCAGAAAAGAGCCTAAGATTAACTAAAGATCAATCCACCATGTTCACATTCTTTTTGAAGCTATCTCCTTTATGAAACTATTTATCAAGAGTCCAAAGAAATTTCACCATGTCTAGACGAATTTCACTCATGTTAAACTTCTATGAAATATGATTGTTGAAACATAACATCCGTTTAAAAAAAATATTCTACAGCTAAATTCTTAAAAAAGATCACATCACAATACAAAATTATTAATGTAAAGCATAATTACAAGTTGTGATTGTTTGTTTTAAACGTGTGCATGTGGTGACTGATGGAGTCAAAATGCTTTTTGTGTACGACTGCAGGCCTGTGGTTGTTGTACAAAAGAGACACAAATGTTGAAAGTTGAAAAGGCAAACCCATTATTATCATTCAAGAAAAAATCACCAATTGGTACAGTCAAATACCAAATCGAGTACATAGCTTTTCATGTATCTTCAATATCAAATAACTTTATTTTTCCTCTTCCATGTCAAAACACTCAAATAAACACTTCAAGCCTTGTTATACATATACATAACATACATTACACTCAAATCTTTCCAATCAGCAATCAAAAAAATGTAGAAAATCAATAGGAGAAGGAGCAAGCAAACTCTTCCTAGTTAGGGTTGAGATATAATTAATCAGAAGATAATTAGTCTTCTTAATTAATAAATTATCATCTCATAATAATGAAGAAGGAAAAGGAGAAAGTGAATTTGTTGCATTTGTTCCCATAATATTTGATGAGTTTGGTTCTTCAACACTCTCCCAGAAAAGAAAGCTAGAACATTGTTGTTGCTGTTGATTTTCCACCCATTCATTCAACTCATGTCTCTGCAACTGCAATGATTCCAATGTTAACATCTCTCCTTCCTCATCCATGTTACAAGACTGAACTTGATCAATTGGCACCATGTTTTCCACATTATTATCTATCAATGGTGGTAGATTATAATTACTACTAGTATCATGAATGGTTGTAAAAGCTGTTGCTGCTGGATGAGGAGGAGGAGGAAGTGCCTGAACTTGATGATGATGATGATTCAAGTTCCATGATTCTGAGCTCAAATTCATGTTATCATGGAAAAACACTTCTGGTCTTATTACACTGGCGTCTGCTGTTGCTGTTGTTGTGTCGAACATAAATAAAGGACACGTTGAAGAAAATAAGGTTTCTTTTGTTGTTACATTTTCTTGGTTGGTAAAGTAATTCTCCAGTTGATTGGAACTGTAATTGTACTGAGGATGATGATCAATAGTTTGTGGTGTATTAAATGATAAATTAGGAGCAGAAGAAGAAGATGAAGATTTTCTAATTTTCTTCTTGATCCATGAATTCCAATAGTTTTTTATTTCATTGTCTGTTCTACCAGGTAAGTGGCTTGCAATGTGAGCCCATCTGCATTAATGCAAAAGTAATAATCACTTAAGTATGAATTAAGTTTTCTGTTTAAAATTAAGACAAAACATATATCTTTGTAATTAAGATGCTTAAATAAAAATGGAATCGTAATTTGCAAGCATACTAGAGAAAAACATGGTTAGCATTTGGTAGGCTGAGATAGGCAAACACTAAAAATAGAATAGTAAATTTCAACTGACAAAATTGCCACCTTAACTTCCTCAAAACTATAGCTTTGAGGTTGATTGCTCCTATTCTCATGTTTTGTTTTTTTTTTCCTTATTGAGTTAGTATATATTGACAAATCTAAAGTACGGCCTCAATCCAAGCCAGAGCTAGACCTCGAGAGAAACACTTTCTTAGGTCTCAAATTCAAGTATTGTGTTAATATATAAAACTCAACTCAACCCAACAATATTTTGGTTGTTTCAACTAGGAAAAGTACAGAACACTTGGACATATATAAAAAGCAAGAAACTGATCATGATTCCAAATGCTTAATTGGTAAAGGTAGTGTGAATAGTAGTAGTGATTCAAACCTGTTGCCAACAACTCCATGAAGACTTATAATTAACTTCTCTTCCTCAGGTGTAAATCTCCCTCTTCTAATATCAGGCCTCAAATAATTTATCCATCGCAATCGACAACTCTTACCACATCTTTGAAGCCCTGCAAAATCATAAAAAAAAAAGATGATAAAAGAAATTCATTTACCTTTTCTTTTCCAAAATATAAACCAAGAATTAGTATAAGAGTAATAAGAGGGTGCAGTGAGAGACCAGCTTTTTCTGGAACTTCACTCCAGCATCCATATCCATGAGTAGTAATGTATCGAATGAGTTTCTCATCTTCCTCAGGAGACCAAAGCCCTCTCTTAACCTTCTGTTGATTGCAGCATGAATGATGACCCATCTTTCTTCTTCTTTTTTCTTTACTAAATTGTACCTTGGATCATTCAGCACCCTTTTAATATATATATTTATTACCTTGATATCATGAGTGTGTGCAAGTGCAAATTGCAATACAATAGTTACCTCTCTCTTTCTCTCTCCCTTTTAAAACTACTGAGGGAACTGAAGTCGACATTTACAACCTGCATGTGGGACCTATATCTTCATCTAACCCTAAAGTGACGTTCTATCAACTTTATTCTAGCTATATAGTGTTACCATTTTCTACGTACATGTGTAGTAGTATTATATTACGTAACAAAACTAAGCTTCTTCAGTTTTATTACCACAACAAGACCCTACAAAGTGACATAATATACATAACGAGAGGAGATGAAAAAAAGAAAGAAGAAAAAAGACGGAGTATTGTTGTTGGTTGTTTCCTGTCTGCAAACTATATATTCAACAACGTCATTATACATCATGAGTGGATATATTTACTAGCTATGTGTGAAAGGGATAGGAAACATTAATTTTTTATTTATCCACAAATTTACTAAATTACTGTCTTTCATCTATCTTGTGCACTTTTTAAAATTAAAATAAATAAATAGAAAATGTTTGGTGTACACTTAATTGGATTTATACACTTTGAATGTGTAGGAAAATATAAGTATCATTGCAACCAAAAAAAGAGAGTCTATTTTATATTGAGTGTGATTTTTTATGTGACTTGTAACGTTAAAATTTCCACTATTTATAATATCATTTCAATTTTCTTTTAATGCGTGGATCAAAGAACTGTGATAACCAATTAAACAACCTCAAATAAAATTAATATAACAATATAATTAAATTTACATGAATATAAAGAAAAATAAATGGCAAAACAGACCTAACTTATTTTTTAATTTGATCGAATCAATTTATTTTAATAAAGATGTTTTTTGATTTCTTATATTTTAAGAGTTGTTACAAAATATTACAATGAGTTATAAGAAAATATTCTTTTAAAATTATAAAAATATTTTATGTTTTTCATTTAAATATTTTGAAATTATGTTCTATGCAAAGATATATGTTGGATCGGATGTCTAATATAATGTGTTCAGCATCTTAAACTAGAATTGACACATAATAGAAATAAGATGATAAATCATAAAGTAATAAATAATACAAGAGAATTGGTAACCCAGTTCAGTACAACGTCACATACGTTTAGGGAGTTCCAACCCAAGAAAGTAAATTCCCTCTTTAATAATATTGTGATAAACACCGCATCGGT